GAAAACTTTGAATCAATCTGACTGGATGATCTGGTGAACTGGAAAGTGACCTGAGATGACATGATGTGAATTGGAGCTATAGAAATAAACTGAATTCAATTATATTTTGAATGGAAGTTGTGAATTTCCCTGTAGGGGAGCGGCAGCCTAGTGGTTAGGGCATAGAGCTTGGAATCCTGAGGTTCTGAGTTCAAGCCCCACTTGCACAGCCTCCACTCTGGGTCCATGAGCAAAAGGATGTTGAACCCCATACTGCTCCCCGGGCGCGGCACAATGGCAGCCTACTGCATACCCAAGGGGATGGGTTAAATGCACAGAGTTGATTTCGCTGCTCTGTACTTGTGACAGTGGAATGACAATAATGGCAGGGGAAAAAAATCCTGTTAATGTCTTTTCCACCAGGCTCTTTAAAATAGTAATTATCAAACCATTATTTGATTAAAAAAAAGAGTAAAAGAGCAACTTGGTTACTGCAGAACTACAGGCCCATCTCAAACCTTCCCGTCATCAGTAAGAAAATGTTGAAAAAGCTGTGATTCAGCAATGAAACACCTTCAGAATAATGACCAGGCTAGCAGCCTGTGTTATTGTGAATAGTCCAAAACCTACCAAACTAGGTATGTTTCTTAGGGTTGCGTACAGTTAGGGTTAGGGTTAACCCTTAGTTAACCCTAAACCAGTTATGTACAGTTTAAAACGTACCCCAGAATAGCTAGCTAAAGTAACAGTGGTTCAATGGCCTACAGTAGTTTCCTCCACAGTGCTGTAGAAGACTCATTGAAACGTTACAGTCCTTTGGCACCAAATCAGCAGGCCTCTCGGTTTCAGTACTCTGAAGGTCTTACCTCCCCTCAAAGCTCATAAGCAGCCCTGTTCACTTGGCCTGAACCAAGGATCAGTCTGAGTCTGCATGGCAGAATATCTGTTTTTTTTAGTAGAACACTGGCTGGTATTCAAGCAGCAGATAATACAGTCTAATCCCTGCTTTCATGCTGAGCACAGGGGGCTGCCTGTCCTGGGGCCTGGGTCTACCTCAGCAGGTCAAACAGAACAGAAATGCCCAAAATCATTCTATCACAACCGTTAAACATTTTCAACTTTTATCAGAATCACTAAGACTGGAAATAAGATGGGTTTGCTGAGTATGCAACAGAGCCATGCTTCTTCAGACCTTCTTCTCAGTACACAGGTCTACCAACAGGCCAACTGGTCTCACTGGATGGGGAACAAGAGATGAACTGGGTGCACTGGGAGGACTGTGAAATTGATTGCTTCATGGCCATCCTGCATTCTGAGCACTGTCACTGAAGAGTCCTCTGGGCGAAGCCTCAATGGTGGCACTGTGAACAGGGCCCGTCTGAAGAGGGGAACATGTTTAGTGTGAGACGAGGAGAAGCGAGGGACGGTTTAGGGCTGCACTGTGATGTGCCCTTTATAATTATCACAAACTGCCCCCCTTCAGGCATCAATGACCTTTTGTCCTAAACCCATTGGGTTCCTAAGCTGCTAGGGCCAATTGGTGAACTTTGGTTTCACTTATCATTTAGAAAACATTTTTCTTGCTATCTTTATTTATTCGGCCACCATTAGTTTGGATTTTTGTAAATTGAGACAAAAACCCCCATAAAGAGCGAGATGTGTGGCTGATGTTACAGCTTCTACTTCATAGATGCTTGCCTTGGTCTCACAGAGGGCGATGGCTGGGACTAGAGACCTTACAGCTAGCTTAGCATAGCCTAGCTTAGCCAAGGGAGCAGAGGATCCCTGGTAGTCAGACCACAGTCGGATCTTCTCAGAATTGTTTTTACTCCTCTCAACACCAGATGTTGTTCCAGAACTTTATCACTTTGGGCCACTAGGTGCTGACTCAGCAATGCCAGTGGACAGGGGGTATTTAGAGTGGCTCTCTCCAGAGGCGCGAGTCTAATGCTACGTTCACACCTAAAGCAGCAGGAGCAGCAGGTTTACATGGAAATGGTTGATGCAAATCAAGACGCAGCAAAACATCCCGCAGCGCATCGTAAGCCTCTGACACGCTGCGGGACGCACTGCAAACACAGCAGCTGCAGGAGCTGGAAAAATGTAGCTGCTGGACGCGCCACAACAACCAATCAGAGAAGCTGATCTGGGAGCTGGCAGGAAGTCAGACACAGCACTAATGCAGCTGCTGCTGGGGATTCCCAGTGACAGCGCAGCGCCGGTATGTGGGGGTCTGAGCGGCTCCCACAGAGAAATAATCTTTGAAGGCAGGATGGTAATCTGGATGAACTGACTGCACAGACCATGTTTTCAGGAGGACTTTCTCACTTCAACATAGATTCTAACTACTTTCTACCCGCTGATCACAGCTAATATAGCTGCCATTGTTAACACAAATGAACACAAACTAAATAAACAAAACAAAACATAGATATAAGCCTACTAATTATAAGCATACTATTCACCCTTTAAACACTTTTTAATATTAAAAACATCAGTATTAGACATGCAGTTAACAAAGCTAGCATGCCGCTAATTAGCTGCTACTTGCTAGCATCTTTATTAGCACAAAGGTATTTTTTACCCAAAAACGCATAAAGAACAAAAACAAATCTTTCTTTAGCTTAGAACATTTAACATAGACTCTCTACGTTGGGCAATACTAAAAAGTAATCTTATATTTAGTTTCATGGTTAATTTTAGCTTGCTTGTTTAGGCTAACGGCAGCATAAGCTTTAGTTCCAGTTTGCTTTTCATTATTCTAATCAATGCCAAAACGAAGCATAGGTTCTCAGGGTCGGTAGAGTCCCAAGAAACTTCACTAAAGTGAGAGTAGCGTCTGTAAGTTGCTTTGACTCTGACTACTTTCCATTATTGTGATTAATAGGGAACGAACGCTGCCCAGATCAGAACAGGGCTGATTACCCTGCAATAGATGAACTGTTCTCACTTTGCAAACATGGAATAAAGTGCCGACTGAATGAAATCCATCAATCTCCATTTATTTAACTGGAGTGAATATTTTTTTTTTTTTTCCTACGACATAGCAGTACTCCCCGGATTATTTTAACAACACTTCACCTGAAATAAGAGAGGAATTTTCAGCTTTAAATTTTTCCAACACACATCCAAATCCTGACCAATCCCATTAATGTTCTAGAACATAAGTTGAGAAAAACATTCTGCCCACTAGATGTCCAGAAGAAAACAGCAGGAAGTCTTACGACGGCAGAAACAAAGGAAGGCTTTTTGATCGCTGAAATGTGAGAATAAGAACAACCTTCATTTTTGTTGTGGAGGAGGAAGTAACCACAAAAATGAGATTAACCAGGAATGGGGCGGGACAGGAGGACAGGAAAAGTATTTTACTCCAAGCTTGGATGGGATGGGGAAGAAAAATGCCTCTGCTGCTACTCTCTACCTTATCCCCAACCCCCCCCCCGTAGACAACTTAGAAAGAAACCATCTCTATCTATCTCTGAAGGAATCACAATAGCTCCCTGCCAGTGTTCAGGATGTTGATTCAGATCTAAGAAATGAGGAATTATACCTGGAACTATGCTAAATGCTAAAGCGGTGATTGATTTGCCAGCATCGTGAAGATCCTGGTTCTGGACTTCAGCTCAGACAGAACACCTCTGATGTCATCAGTCTAAGCCCCTCCCCTCAGGGCTGCGTCCTGAGCCCCCTTCTGTTCACCCTGATGACACACGACTGCGTCCCCAGGTTCACCACC